CGACACTATGATTACGTCACCTCCCTCACCAAACTAGCTCCTCTCAACATACTCTGTTGCTGTTGCTACACAATATACACACATTGTATACAGTATACCCATGTACAAATGTGTTCACCATAGCGAACCACTAAGCTAGTATGATGAGCAAAACAAGAGTGACTGCCACAGTGAGTTTACCTCGATTCTCTCCCTCGCTCCCTCACCACAATTCCTCCTCCCACAATACTACACACAGTGCTTATTATCACCACAATCCTGCTGTTATCACAATACTGGTCACTAAATCCTGTAAATACATATTTGACCACAAGTTTATTCTGTAAAGGAACCTAAGAAGTCGTTTGAAGATTCCTAGATGGACGAAATAATGCTGTGGCTAGCGCTGTGAACATCGTGAACAGCATTGAATCACTAATATTTGAACATTGTACACAGTCATTATCACACTCAGGCTCTTCTGTAATACTATCATGGCTAAATAATACAAGGTACAGTATATATATATTTTGACATTATTAGGCGATGCTGTGGTCTCAAGCTGAACAGCAGTGCTGTGAGCTCATGCTGCGTGCGTCGGCCTTGGTTGCTCACTCACTACTGAGGCTCTCACACCCGGGAATGTGGATCACGATTTTTTTTAAAGATGGCGTCTGTTTATAAGAACCCTGAGGAAGCTGATGTGAACCCCATGTAGCCGCAGGAGTTTTGAATGGAATGTGAAAAATACAAATACCCAGAGGCGCGCAGCACATCCCAGACGTGGGCCTGCAGGTACGTTGCGCAGTTAAAGGGTTAATGTGAATAAATGCCATCTTATGGAATGTGGAACTGGAGAATATAGACCCCACCACAACCTATAAATTATGCGAGAAATCTTTAAAGAATTCTGACAAAGAAAGGAATCTAGGGGTTATCTTGAGATGATTTCGGGGCATAGCGTCCTGACCACGGCCCGGTCCTCGACCAGGCCTCCTTTTTGTTACACCCCCCACCCCCCTACGAAGCAGCCCGTAGCAGCTGTCTAATTTCCAGGTACCTATTTACTGTTAGGTAACAGGGGCATCAGGGTGAAAGAAAAATTTTGCCCAATTGTCTCCGCCTCCACTGGGGATCGAACCTGGAACTTCAGGACTACGAATCCGAAGAGCTGTACACCCAGCTGTCAGGCGCCCTCCTGACAGAGGGGTGGTTCTAGACAGAAAATTGTCACCTGAAGACCACATTAATAACATTGTGTGAGCTTATACTACACTTTCTAACTTCAGAATTGCTTTTAAATACATGGATGGAGAAATACTAAAGAAATTGTTCACGACTTTTGTTAGACCTAAGCTAGAATATGCAGCGGTTGTGTGGTGCCCATATCTTAAGAAGCACATCAACAAACTGGAAAACTTAGTGGCAAACACATGCCACTAAGTGGCTCCCAGAACTGAAGGACAAGATCTACGAGGAGAGGTTAGAGGCATTAAATATGGAAAACTAGAAGATAGAAGAAAAAGAGGGGATATGATCGCTATGTACAAAATAGTAACAGGAATCGATAAAATTGATAGAGAAGAATTCCCGAGACCCAGAACTTCAAGAACAAAAGGTCATAGATTTAAACGAAACAAAGCTGCTGGAAAAATATAAAAATATACTTTTGTAAACAGAGTGGTAGACAGTTGGAACAAGTTAGGTGAGAAAGTGGTGGAGGCCAAAACCGTCAGTAATTTCAAAGCGTTATATGGCAAAGCATGATGGGGAGACGGGACACCACGGGCGTAGCTCTCCTCCTGTAACTATACTTTGGTAATTACGACGGGAAGAATCCCCGAGCCCTGGCACGACCCTGCTGGGAAGGCCCCCTCCACAAGCCCCCGGGAGGACAAACAAATCCAACATAGGATGGTAACTAGCTGAAGCTGCTTGGAGATACTGCACAACCAGACTCTGCAAACAGCAACAGACAAAAAGGCAAAGACAGTCCAAGACCCAGGGCCCAAGCGGATTCGAGATAAGAAGCGAGCACCACCTGCCGACGCATGAGTCAGGAAGCAAAAAACAGTCAAACCTCGTCTTGCAGGAGTGGCGCAAACAGCTTCAACAATGCAGATGACGCACGCGCCACCGAGGGCAACGCACTAGACCCAGAGGCGGCCCCGAGCTCCCCCATATCCACCTCAAGCCAGTCCGAGGACAGCTCTAGGAGGGAGAAGAAACACAGGGCCGAAACCAGCAGGTCACACATATGCAAATCCTGTGACCAGTGCAGCCAAATGAGAAGGACCCTGCACCTGAAGCTGCATCACACCAACATCCTGCAGAAGGGCAGAGGTAAACAAGCACACATTTAGAGGCTAAAATTTGCCCCCCCCCCCAGGAAAACCTGCAACATCATCTGAGCCTCCCGCCACTCAAGCGTGCAAGATCGACAGAAAGTATGCCAAGCTTGAGCCAAGCCATGCTCTCTTCTCCAGTGAGAAGAGCGGGCAGTCTGCTAACCAGGACGACTCCGGAACTTCATAACGAACCCAGAAAGGACACATAGATCCAGACTTGAAAAAACGTGGATCCATCACGAAAGCATAATCTAGGATGCGCAGGAGGTAAGCAGCAAGGGCTTCCCGCACCACATGAGATGGGACGCAGGAAGCCGAAAACCTCCAGAAGAACGGAACCGAAGAACCGTCGGAATCACGGAACCGAACCCGGAAGGGGTAGATGCCAAATCCAATTTGTACAAGGAGGGAGCGAAAAAGAACCCCACTCCTTGTAACACCAAGCTCCGCTCCGAGAATACAAAAACCCAGGCTAGGTCTAATGAGGGGCCCAAGGCCCCCCAAGTCAACCCCTCGCCCGCCCCGGGAACCTCACCCCAAGAACCCGGAGCCAAGCCGTCCTCCAAACCCCCTGCCTCTAAAGAAAAAGCAGGGAACGAAGGGGGCCTACTGGTCAGACCCAGAAGTTCCGACTAGAGGACCAGGCTGGAATGCCTCCACCGCCACCCCGAGACCGCCCGAGTCTCAACACCAACTAGACCCTGCCCCGACTCTAAAATCCTCAGACATTTTGGAGCCGGAAGCAAGGAGGAAGAAACCGGACGCACAACAGTAAGGGAAGGACAAGGAGGGGCAGATGGATCCAATAAACGTCACACGACTCCTGGTCAAAAGAATCACCGACCCTACAGGCAGCATGGCTGAGGCACACCCGGTGATTGTCACCCTGAGACAAGGGGACAGAGCAACCATCAACCTCGCATGAAGCAAGAGGGGACTCGAGGGTCATATCCATCGGACCACAGAGCCCCCGCGGGGTTTCCCAGGGTCCTTAGCCTTGGTAACACGCTAAGGAAAGCTCAGGCAGGGTACTGCAAACCGGCGCCCAAGACTATCAAGCAAACTTCTAAAAGCTGAACCTCCGGGATGTGTCCCCTCACTGGGGCCTAGCAGGGGGTACCACCAAGAACACAGATATGGATCAATCGACTTGAGAATGGTCCAGGACGGACCAAAACGTCATCGTCCTTTCACTTTCTAGTGTGTGGTCTGGTCAACATACTTTAGCCACGTTATTGTGACTCATCGTCTGCACAGATGTGGATATATATACCCTAATTATAGATAGGGACAAACAACCAAAGGCAGACCCACCACCAGGCAGGAAAAGAAAAAAACCCTCAAGAGGACATCGTACCCAGGCGGAACAGAGCCGGCCGCTATAACAGGTGATAACTAGCTGTGCAATATCCTGTGCTCCTACCTGTGACGTAAAATACCTCCTACCCAGAGGCAAACAAGGGCAACAAAAACCTCAGCTGACTCCAAGGGCGGCCAAGTACCAAGCAGTAAAAGACACAGTGGAGGTAGATCCCAACGTGACTTGTGGAAAGTGGCCCCAAGCCCCAAGGGCAGTACTTACTAGGCACCTAGGGAAGGAAACCCTAGGCGCATACAGCCCGAGTACCATAGAATATTACTCCTGGCTTGCACACCACCTGTAGAGATGGACCATGCCACAAGGCACAGAAACCGAGACCAAATCAGGAGCCAGAGGCAAAAGACCTCGCCAGTAGCACAGCCAAGAACTGAAGGGTGGATTGCTGGCGTGAGGGTCTGGGGTTTTCCCTACCAGGGAGGGAGGGAGGGAGGGTTGCACAGACAGCGGCGCACCAACGTGATGACGTCATGCTCATTTGCTAATTTTCACTTGGGAAGTTCTGTCCACTTGTTCGGCTTTCGGAAGCAATATTTTCATCAGAATAGGGGTTTGTTTTGAGGTGCCTACCTTTCTGGGTGTCAGACCTGGTCAATAGCAGATACAGAATGCTCCCAACCACACAGTTGTTTCTATAGACCATTGCTCCTCATGCCTCTCTGAGGGAGGCCAGGTTCTGGCTTGTGGTCCCCGTTAGGCAAGAACTCCATGCACATTGACTGATGCCAGAAAACTAATACTGTATATCCATATCAGCCTGGATAGCTCCGGGGAGCTGACAGGGCTCCCCCTCCCCCCAGAAAAGAAAATGTAAATAACCAAACTATCAGATTAATGTATTTGATATAGATTTCTTAATATGATATAAATGAAAAATATTATTAAAGCAAGCATGTTAAAAAAAAAGGTTTAATCATGTACATTACAGTACATCAATTATACACGTCATTCACTTCACAGCACTATAAAAATAAAAAATTATTTGTTTACCTATGAACAATTTTTAAGCTTCCTACTAATGCAATTTCTCTGGTAGTTTATTAATCTATGAGGTGCCTCTCATAGAGGTGCATATTTAACAAGTTGCAAAGCTTTACCTTCTGTTGAATAAGTAGAAATGTAATGTCCTGTTATGTATCTCATACAATATAGTATGATATTTCATTACTAATATAAATGACACAAGATCTATTCATCATAGATGCTAGCTGGTGCCTTTTAAAATTAATTTGGATACTAAAACTTTTCCATCGAGACAGTATACAAGATCTAGTGAGTATTATTGCCTGAATTCACTAGTACTGTATGTGATTTTTCCGTAACTTGTGTCTTATTATACTTGATCGTTCTTTGAATCTTTTACCACACACAGCACACTTAAAAGGTCTATCCTCCTTATGCACTGACATGGGACTTTTCATACTTTTATGTTCTCCAAACTTTCTTCCATTTTTGGCACAATGAAAAGACTTATCACCCATATGTATGGCCCTGTGCCTCTTCATACTTCTAAGATTACTGTATCTTTTCCCACACTCTGGACATTCATGAAGTTTCTCATCTGAATGCATTAACGTGTCTCTTTTTACACTCTTATGTTCTCTAAATTTTCTCCCACACTCTAAAGGCTTATTATTCGTATGCACTGACCTGAGGCTAATATTGTTTGGTTCCCCAAGTTTCTTTTCACGCTTTAAAAGTTTATGACCTATATGCAAGAACATGTGCTTCTTCATATTTCCAAGCTGGATGAATCTTTTCCCACACTCGGGACATGCATGAGGTTTAACATTTTTATGAATCAACATGTGAGTATTAACATTCCCAAGACGATTGAATCTTTTCCCACACTCGGGACACTTGTAAGGTTTATCATCTGTATGTATTATCCTATGCCTTTTCATAGCTCCTAGGTTATTCATTTTTATACCACACTCAGGACACTCATGAAGTTTATAATCTGCATGCACCACCATGTGACTCTTCATATTCCAAAGACGATTAAATCCTTTCCCACACTCGGGACACTTGTGAGGTTTATTATCTGAATGTATAATACTGTGCCTCTTTAAATATGCGAGGATCCTAAATTTTTTACCACACTCCGTACACTGGAAAGGCTTTTCAATTGTATGTTCCGACATTTGATCTATTACACTGCTATGTTCCTTTAATTTTCTTTCACACTTCGAATGCTTAAATTTATGCAGCTTCCTGTGCCTCTTCATATTTTCAAGTTGATTGAATCTTTTCCCACACTCAGGACTCTTGTGAGGTTTATTATCTGTATGTAAAATACTGTGCCTCTTTAAAGATGCGAGGTTCTTAAATCTTTTATCACAAACAGAACACTCAAAATATTTATCACCCAAATGCACAGGCATATGACTGATTATATCACTACGTTCCCCAAATTTTCTCCCACACTCTGTGCACTGGAAAGATTTTTTAACTGTATGTACCGATATGTGATCTGTTATACTGTTGTGTTCCTCGAATTTTCTTTCACGCTTCAAATGCTTAAATATATGCAGCTTCATTTGGCTCTTCATATTATCAAGTTGGCTGAATTTTTTCTCACACTTGGGATGTTTGTGAGGTTTATTATCTGTATGTATAATAATGTGCCTCTTTAAATATTCGAGATTCTCAAATTTTTTACCACATTCCGTACACTGGAAAGGTTTTCCAATTGTATGTTCCGATATGTGATCTATTACACTGCTATGTTCCTTGAATTTTCTTTCACACTTCGAATGCTTAAATTTATGCACCTTCCTGTGCCTTTTCATATTTTCAAGTCGATTGAATCTTTTCCCACACTCAGGACACTTGTGAGGTTTATTATCTGTATGTATTATACTGTGCCTTGTTAAACATTGGCGGGTCTCAAATTTTTTACCACAAACAGAACACTCAAGAAATTTATGTCTCAAATGCGCAGCCATGTGACTGATTATATCACTACGTTCTGCAAATTCTCTCTCACACTCTGTACACTGGAAAGGCTTTTTAAATGTATGCATTATTGATATGTGTCTCTTCATACTTTCAAGTCGAATGAATCTTTTCCCACACTCGGGACACATGTGAGATTTATCTGTGTGTATTTTAATGTGCCTTTTTAAATTTTTGAGGTTCGTTAATCTTTTACTACAGACAGAGCACTCAAGAGATATATCACTGAAATGCATAGACATGTGACTGATTATATCACTACGCTCCCTAAATTTTCTCCCACACTGTCTACACTGGAAAGGCTTTTTAAATGTATGTACTACTGATATGTGCCTCTTCATATTTCCAAGTTGACTGAATCTCCTCCCACACTCGGGACATGCATGAGGTTTAACTTTTAAATGAACCAACATGTGAGTATTCACATTCCCAAGACGCTTGAATCTTTTCCCACACTCAGAACACTTGTAAGGTTTATCATCTGTATGTATTATTCTATGCTGTTTCATAGCTCTTAGGTTATTCAATTTTATACCACACTCAGGACACTTGTAAGGCTTATCATCTGTATGTATTATCTTGTGCCTGTTCAGAGTTACTTTGCTACTGAAACTTTTACCACAAGCAAGACACTTGTAAGGGTTATTATCCACATCCACCATCATGTAAGCCTTTATATTTCAAAGACGTCCTTAATCTATTCCAAACTCAAGGCACTGGTGGTTTCCTTTTCATGATCGATGCAATTTGCTTAAAGCTCCTCACCTCTCCATGACAAAGTATTGTTTCATGATGTGGGGGCAGCTTCTGTAGCTAACACTTGGAAAATGAAGATAAATTAAGCCTGGGTGTTTTCTGCCATGGCATTCCCTCTTCCCAATACATGCACAAGTGGTAGTGTGTTAGTGAAGTCATCAATGGTGACAGTTAGGGAAGGCGTAACTGTTGTTTCTTCAAGTCAGACTCTATCGGTTTGTGTACCATGTGACTTGTATCCGTTAGGTTAGGTTAGCCTGAATTGGGCTCTGTTGGGTTGGGTTAGGTTTGTTTGGGTTAGGAAGGTTTCAAAATCCTTCCACGAATCATGTGTACCACGTGACTTGCATCCTCTGACCCCAAATTAGGGGTCAGCCTTAGGACCCCAATACAGTACACTATAGGTTTCTCGGAGACTTCTTGGAAGATCAGCCCCCTCTCCTGTGCGCAGCGTTAAGGTTAAACCAAGAATCTTGGCTGCTAAATGCTGATGAGTATGAGGTCACTCGGATAGTTGTTAGTTGAATGAAGGGCGACGACGACCGTGGGATCAGACGCGCCCCGGCGAACCCGTCAAGGGTTAACTAATGTGTCTCGTGGCCAACAAACACACACACGGGCAGATGATTGGGGAGCCCCATTAGTCCTTCAGGGAGGCAAGCACCAGCCCAACCCAACACAGAGACCACTGGGTAGCAAAACCAAACACTCGGCCTCCAACTAAAAAAACATTTGTGTTGTCGCGGCGGCAACAAACAATGTTGTGGTGGCGCGAAACACTTGCGCTCCAGTGTTGGCTTTGACGTTTTCTTTGGTTGGTCATGTCTTTTTTTTTTTAGTTATATATTTGTTACTTATATATTTGTTATTTTATATTATTAATAAATATAGTTATTTTATTTATTTAGTTATAGATTGTAATTTGCTAAGCTAAGGTACCAGTCTCCGTGGTGTAGTGGTAAGACACTCGCCAGGCGTTCCGCGAGCGCTTTGTCGGGCAAAGATATTTCAAAGGTTCAAACAGTGTTGGACAATTTCGGAAACCTGTGTCACCATATGGGATTGGTGGTTAATGAAAACAAAACTAAGTTTGAATGTAGAAGTCGGAGCCCCATTGTTTTGAAAATAAACGATACAAATATAGAGAGAGTTAATATATATATAAATATTTAGGCATATATGTTGGATATACCCATGAGAGTTTGGAAGCTGAGATGAACAGACTGTTGGGTCAATGTCGGAAGAGATTACAACCTCTGAAGGCTTTGGCATGCTGTGGAAAGGGAGTGGGAGTCCCTGTGCTACGAATGTTATACTTGAGTACTGTAAGATCTCTTATTGATTATGCTGCACCTGCCATTTCAAGTTTTGGTAAAGGTAGGATGGGCAAGTTGGAGAAGGTACAAAATGAAGCCATGAGAATTATCTTTGGATGCCCAAGAAATGCTATGATTGAGATAATGAGGATGGAGTTGAATCTGCAGAGTATTGGGGATAGAATTTCAGAGATAAATGTTGCCTCTGCCATTAGATTAATGAGAGGTGGGGGAGCTAATGAAATAACCGCTGCATTATGTAGGAATGCGGAGGAATTTCTGATGGAGTTTCATGGACGGGGAACATTGGTTTTGCGCCCGAAGAACTCTCGATGGACTGCACGGATGGGCGCATGAAGGAACTACTCAGCTGCGTTGGGGCTAGCCTCCGCGAGGGCGGGCTACAGCGACGACGACGCCCACGAGGACGACCCGGCGTGGCGGTGCACAGCACGCGTAGCACGCATTAGAACGACTACAGACCCTCCATCTGGTCACCATTTGGTCCGGGAGACATCTCCCATCACGCAGGGTGCAGTCGCACCTCCACAGATCTCCAGTATCATCTATTGATACTGGTGATGGCTCAAAAGGGACACCACTTACGAGCTATTCATGCCTGTGCCACCTTTTGGGTGGCTTCATCTTCATCTTAACACATTCACAAGGGAGACATCTCCCGTCATGCAGGGTGCATTCGCACCTCCACAGATCTACAGTATCAGCTCCTGATACTGGTAATGGCTTAAAATGGCCACCACTTACGGGCTATTTATGCCCGTGCCATCTTTTGGGTGGCTTCATCTTCATCTTAACACACTCACAAGGGAGACATCTCCCGTCACGCAGGGGGCAGTTGCGCCTCCACAGATCTCCAGTGTCATCTTTTGATACTGGTAATGGCTCGAAAGGGCCACCACTTACGGGCTATTCATGCCCGTGCCACCTCTTGGGTGGCTTAATCTTCATCAATCAATCATCGACTACAGACCATCGGGGAACACCTCATGGACGGAGAACATAGGATCGCGCACGATGAACACTCCCGACGGACGGCACGGATTGGCACACGCAGGTCCTACTCACCCGCCCTGGGGTCAACCTCACTGGGCTAGTCTCTGCAAGGGCGGGATACGGCGATAACGGCGACACGAGGATGTCCTGGCGTGGCGGGGCATAGCACGCGAGGCATGCAGAACTTTCGGCTACGCCATTCCTGGTGGCACGGCCCCCAACGTCAGATGAGAAGTCAACGCCCTACACGCTGATGCCCCTTACGCGGCCTGCGCCCTCACAATGACTACGCCCCACATTCTTTACGGATTGGACGGGCCATGCAGCTGTCACATTAACGGGCAGGTGCAGGAAACAATTAAGGCCGTCGGACGATGGAGGCGTGACGTTTTCACTCATATGTCAGGCAAGATGTCATCACGCTTCCACATTGAAAACATTCAGCGGCCAGATAAAAGGCACGAAAATAAACAAAATAAAGCAGACGACCGAAACCCTCGATCAGGCTCTCTGCACCCAGCACTGCCGGGTGGGTAAACATTGGGCAGCAACGATTAGAGCCATGATTTACCGCATAAAGGTCCGGTTTCGTGAAGAAACATACTACACCGGACCCCAATTTCTAAGGAAAATCGTCGATATCACGAATGCAGCCCCGTTGGACATCCGTGACGATGCTGACGGCGCTGTACTTCTCTATTCAAGCGCGCAAGCTCTGGAGCAACTGTTTGCATAAGAACATAAGAACATAAGAACAAAGGCAACTGCAGAAGGCCTGTTGGCCCATACGAGGCAGCTCCTATTCTATAACCACCCAATCCCACTCATATACTTGTCCAACCCGTGCTTGAAACAATCGAGGGACCCCACCTCCACAATGTTACGCGGCAATTGGTTCCACAAATCAACAACCCTGTTACTGAACCAGTATTTACCCAAGTCTTTCCTAAATCTAAACTTATCCAATTTATACCCATTGTTTCGTGTTCTGTCCTGTGTTGATACTTTTAATACCCTATTAATATCCCCCCGGTTATGTCCATTCATCCACTTGTAAACCTCTATCATGTCACCCCTAACTCTTCGCCTTTCCAGTGAATGCAACTTAAGCTTTGTTAATCTTTCTTCATATGAAAGATTTCTAATTTGGGGAATTAACTTAGTCATCCTACGCTGGACACGTTCAAGTGAATGTGTCCAGAACACCAGGACGCCCTACGAAACTACAACCTGATCATCACTCCTAACCGTCGCTACTTGGCTGAACGAACCATATTCGTCAGCCACACGAGTGTCTACACCGCCACCCAGGATCCTGGTACCATCAACACCAGAAAACACGGCTCTGACTGCTGCTACAGTCAAGGCCACCCAACAAACGGTGCCTCAATTGCGGAGATAAGAACATAAGAACATAAGAACAAAGGCAACTGCAGAAGGCCTGTTGGCCCATACGAGGCAGCTCCTATTCTATAACCACCCAATCCCACTCATAT